TCGACCGGGGAAGAACCACGCTCTCACGTAAAATAGCAGCTTAATGCTACTGTGTTTCGTATGGTGAGTGTGGAGAACCGCAGACCCTTTTTACTGGAATCGAGGCATTCCATCTTATTCCTCAAAGTTGACATCGCATCTGCATTTTGATCTTTAATCGAGGTTAAATGTAGATGTCTATGGGCCACAGCATCCACTTACCATCAGGTGGACTGTGTGCTCGTTTGTCACCCCGATTCTATAAAAATAAAATATACTTAAACATTTATTTAATACACAACTTTTCAATTATATTTTTTTAATGACATTATGTAACAAATAACTTCACCTCAGTCCCTATCAGCGACATCTGGTGATTGGATTCAGATTATTAGCCCTCATTGGACCATGTTGTGCAGAAATGATGCAACCTGCAAACTTGCCGAAATAATTCTGTGACCTGGTGCTAAAAGGGCCATAGTACCTTTTTATTAAACAGTATGGAAGTACACGTTATATTGACCTTTTTTACTTATTATCTTTTAAAAGACTATCGATAAACGTACCTTTTAGTACAAACAAATTTTATACTTTTTCAATAACATGGCTTTAAAATCTCATTTCTTTAAAAAAGTACTTTCGCGCGGTAAAACCATAATGAGAATTTTTTTTACAATCTAATGAAGTGTTCCAGCTCTAATGGCTACATGAAATTACTGTTAAAGAAATTTAGCTACTTTTTATTTGAATAAAGCACTTTCTTACCCATGACTTTGGCCCTTCATTTAAACAGTGTTTATTTTTTGCAGAGCTCGAATCCCAGGACCCCTCATTCGAAGATGATGAAACTGCGGACTATTTCCCTCGCACCAAGCAGACTATTCAAATGCTGATGCGCGACCTAGATACTATGGAGGAGCTTGGAGTCATTACCTGAATAATTAACCTTTAACAATTAATAATTACCCTATAAGAGAAATTTTCATGTATATTTACAAGTTACTACTTATATATAAAGTAAAATAAATACTCCAATGCGTATTTATTTTACTTTATATATAAGTATGTGTATACGTCATGTGATTTTACTTACCAGAGGAAAATAATAATTAGAAATACTAAGAATTTGTAAGGAAAAATATGTTTGCCAAAGATCTGCTTTTTAACATGGTACAGCATCTATATTATGGATGTTGCATGAATGGGTCAGCTCAACCGGGGTTGGCCCACACTCAGAATACCAGCAAAAATAGCAGCTTAACCCTTTGAACGCCAAGCGCAGCGCATGGGAGCCTTTTATTAACTATTAAAATACCTACAAAATGCTAGTGATGAGATATTAACAAATATCGATAAACCTTTATCACTGCTACTGCAATAGATATTCCATATATAGGTGTTAAATTTATTAAATAAATGTTATAATAATGGCATTAATTAACCTACATGAATGAAATAATCAAATTAAACTAATTTCACAATTAAAACTTCACTAAAACAGGTTTTTATCAAACAAAGCGTATCCGTTAAAGGAGATTGACGTCAATATTTGTCGCTTGAAAGCGTCAATGGCGTATGGCTTTAAATAAAATACGGTTATTTCAGGGATGTAATAATATCATATCATAAACACTCACGCCTGTCACCCAGAGGGGTAGGCAGAGACTACAGACTTCCATTTGGCACGATCCTGACACACCTCTCTCGCCTCCTTCACATCCATACACCTACGCATGCATGCTCGTCGGTTAAGGGTACTCTTAATTTGGCCCGTTTTCAATAAATCGCCAATTTGGTCGATAAATTTTCGCCTAGGACGTCCCTTTCCGACTCTGCCATTCACTTCTGCAACATAAATTTTCTTTGTCACTCTTTCCTCATCCATTCTTTCCACATGACCAAACCACCGAAGCATTCCTTTCTTAATCCTGGTCACAACATCATCTTGCAAACCACACTCTTCTCTTATCACACAATTTTTCACCCTGTCATTCAGATTCAGCCCTAACATACTCCTTAACGACCTCATTTCTACTGCATTTATTCTACTCTCGTGCTTCTTCTGCCATACCCAACTTTCACTACCATACGTTAAAGTAGGGACCAACACAGCATTGTGAATTGCCATACGTGCCTTTTTTGACACATTTTGACTCTTCACAATAGAGTGCAGGGCTCCATTTACTCTGTTTCCTGCGTTCACTCGTCGTTCTATATCCTTATCATATCTCCCATCCCTGCTAAATACGCAACCCAAATATACAAACTCATCTACTTGCTCGATCAACTCCCCTTCTATTCTTATTTCACAAATCGTTTTACTTTCTTCTCTTTCAAAAACCATAACCTTCGTCTTACTTGCGTTCACTTTCATACCCCTTTCTTTCAATGGTCTGTTCATTAATGTGACCATCATTTGCAACTCGGCCGCCGATGACGCAAGGATAACTTGATCATCGGCGTACAAAAGGCATTTGACGGTTAACTCACCCATTCTTAGTCCGCATTCTTCAACTTTCAAATTTTGCAAACAACTGTCCATAAATAGGTTGAACAACCACGGGGAAGCCACACAGCCCTGTCTGACACCTTTATGGATGCCAAACCAGTCCGAGTAGACCCCGTTGATCCTAACACAAGCACTAGAGTCCCTATAAAGAGATTCCAATGCCTGTATCAAGCCAGCGCTCAACCCAAATGAGTTCAGTGTTTGCCATAGCACATTCCTATCCACTCTGTCATAGGCCTTCTCCAAGTCCATGAACGCACAAAAAACCTTTTGGTTTTTGGCCAAAAACTTCTCCGCGATCATGCGCATGGAGAAGACTTGATCTGTACATCCCATTCCCTTTCTAAATCCCGCTTGCACATCCCAAATTTTTCCATCGGTTTCTTTCATGACCCTTTCAATTAGTACCTTGGCATACAGTTTTCCCACGATGCTAAGAAGGCTGATACCGCGGTAGTTTTTACAGTCCTGCTGCGACCCTTTTCCCTTATATACTGGGACTATCACGGCTTTGCACCAGTCTCCCGGTACCCGCTTCAGTTCCCAGCATAAATTAAACAAGGTGTGCAGCAGGCCTGCCACCACTTCCTCTCCAGCCCTTAGCATTTCGAGTGAAACTCTATCATATCCGGCAGCCTTACCTGCTTTCATGCTTCTCATTGCTTTCATTATTTCATCTATACTTATCTCGCTACCTTCTTCCTCTTCTTTCGGAGTTCCTATTTCATTCAGTTCATACGTTGTCTCCTCACTCATAAACATGCTTTCAAAATATTCCTTCCATCTCTTTAAACTCAAAACTTCATCATTCAGAATATAGCCATTCTCATCTCTTATAGCATTCATTATAGGCTGTTTTGAACATCCCCTGGCAGTTCTTACGAGTTTCCAGAACATTTTAATATTTGCCTGGAAGTTATCCGATATTCTTCTATCATTCTTATCCGTTCTTTCTTGCTTTTTCCTTTCAACTACTTCTTTTACTCTTTTATTTAGATGTCTAAAGACTGCCTTTTTTCTTTCAAAATCATCATTCGTACCGCTTGAATTACCAGCCTTAGTTGCTAGTAAATCTAGCCATGCTCTCTTCTTTGCTTCAACTTCCGTACGTATCTCATCATCCCACCATAACGTATTATTTTTCCTTTCATTCTTTCTTTTACTAACACCACATACTTCGGTAGCTGCATCTACTAAACCTTTCTGAACATTTTGCCATACATTCTCCAAGTCTAACTCATTCATACATAATTCATCCAAACCACTTACGTTTTCTTTCAGTCTACATTTAAACTTGTTTTTCTCACCTTCATCTTGTAATCTTTCTGTTCTAATACGCTGTAACGCAGTGGTAGACACGGATGACCGATGGCGCCACCGCCTGAATAGACCATTAATTCGGCATAAAACCAAAAAATGATCCGTTCCTACGTTTGACCCCCGGTAAACCCTTGTATCCACCACTGCGCCCCTCAATCTTTCATCCACAATTATGAAATCTATCATGCTTCTATCATCACCTCTTTCCCAAGTGTACATGTGAATCCTCTTGTGGCGAAAGAAAGTGTTCGTCACAAAAAGATTCTTTTCCATACATACAGTGAGGAGGCTTTCACCATTCTCATTTATACTTTCATCACCAAACGTTCCCAATATCCTTTCATAACCAAGCCTCCTCACCCCAACTCTTCCATTAAAATCTCCTAGCATAACAACATTTTCATTTCCCTTACATTTCATTAATACCATCCTTACCATTTCCCAAAACTGCTCTCGGATATGAGTGGGCTTAGACATGTCTGGGGCGTAGAACCCTAGTACAAACAACTTCTTTAAGCCCACTTTCAATCGTATCCATAGCAGTCTTGGGCTTACACATTCATACTCTTTCACACATTGCACCATTCTTTCTGATAGGATGATCCCTACTCCCTGGCATGCCCGCTCGAGCTCGTCTACACCAGACCAGTATGCGGTATACATGCCATGTGTAGTGACATCCTTCCCCTTCCGTTTCGTCTCATTTACACATAACAAATCTATTCCTCTATCATACATCACCTCGCATACTTCACCCATTTTATCATTCATTGCTCCACATACATTCAACGTAGCCAGACGGGCCTCTGCAATCCACTTTTCGCCCCTCCGGGAGACAGAACGTGACGGGTGGCGAGCCTCGTCGCCGGTTTTCCTCCCGGAGATTCTTCGCACCCCTGCCCCATTAAAGGGGCGCCGGGAACTCGGGGCCATTTCTTTACTTTGATTCCTCATGGTGCGAATGGGGTGGTATATTTAACGCCGCTACCACGGCGAGGAGCCGAGTCTGTGCTATCGGCTTGTCGCTCATTTAGCACCACCCGGGGGGACACGTGTAGGGTGGGCCTAGGATTAGGTGGTCAAAGCCTACGGACGCGAGCGACTTATCCCCCATCCTTAATGTAATAATAATATATAAAATATAATAAACACGTTTGTAGCAAACTGTTGCACTACGGATTTATACGGAATGTCACGGAAATTCATTTTCGCCACGGCAACTCCTGATCGTATTTATGATCTGCCCATAGACATATGATCTTTCTTCAGGCCTTATTTTTTCCAATTCAAATGCAACCAAACTAGCAAAATATTCGTTTCTAATATCCGAAGGCCGTTCACAGATAAATCTCGGAGGTTGGAGTGCATCGACATTCACTTCTATTTCGAACTCGGATGTTCGTTTGTAATTGACGAAACATTCTTCACACTGAGTTGCCTTTTCAGCAGTTTTCTTTCTTTTTTTCGGCAAGTTGGAAAGTAAACTTGGAGACAATGGTTGAGAATCTTCTATAATCTCCTCTTCGAAACTTGGATTTTTCAAATTATCATCTTTGTTGGCTATAGTTGACCAACATGAGTCGAACCTTTGAATACAATCAATCAAACCATCGATTGCTTTCATCCTGAAACAAAACCGATCGCTCTTATTTTTCCGACTTTTATCCCGAAACAAGGAGTTGGGCATGGGAATGGTAACATCATTTTAAAAATTTTGTACATCTTCCTCTTTATTTTCCATAACAATTTTGAATTTATATTACACACCCAAGTAAGGTACAAACCCTACCTTGAATTACACAATCAAAATAAAGTAAGAAAACTAAAATTACAACAACTTAGAGATATCGAAAAATGACGAAAATGAATTATTTTTAACTCTATCATGTGTAGGGGAGAGTGGGGTAAGACGGGGTCCTTAAGGTTTGATGTTAAATAAAATTGACCGTAAAGAGTTTTATTAATTTGTTTTATTCTTATAATCTTCTTAGATAATCAGTCTTCATTGTTAACGAGTATTTGGCAGTCTTATCAACATAATAAAATTAAAAAAAAATCAAAAAGTAGAAATACCTTCTGTGTACTAAATATCGGGAATTTGTCAATAAAACAAAAAATACAAATTATTCATCTAAATTTATTTTATCGCCTTCAAAGTAGGCCCCATCGCTTGCAATACAACATCTCCAACGCTTCACCCAGTCTTCCATACATTTTTCATAGGCTATTTGCGGTATGGCCTTTAGCTCATTCAGCGAATTTTTTGTTATGGCTTCTATCGACTCAAAACGTTTTCCTCGAAGTGGTAATTTTAACTTGAGAAATAAAAAAAAGTCAGACGGAGCCATATCAGGTGAATACGGTGCTTGTTCGAGAACTTTTGTTGAATTTTTCGCTAAAAACTCTTTCACTATAATGGCTGTGTGTAATGGTGCATTATCATGGTGCAGCATCCATGAGTTGTGTTGCCACAAATCTGGACGTTTTCGGCGGATACTCTCACGCAAACGCTTCATGACGCCTAAATAATATTCTTTATTCACTGTTTCTCCCTTTGGAAGGAATTCGGAGTGAACCACACCACGGTAGTCAAAAAAAAAAACTGTCAGCATCACCTTGATTTTGGAGCGACTTTGCCGCGGTTTTTTGGGTTTCGGCTCGTTTTCGAGACGCCATTCTGAAGACTGTTGGCTTGTTTGCATGTCGTACTCATAAACCCATGTCTCGTCGCCAGTTATTATACGTTTCATAAAGGTCGGATCCGTAGAAGCTCGGGAAACCATGTCTTCAGCGACATGCTTTCGCTGCGCTCTTTGAACAAAATTGAGCTCTTTTGGAACTAGTCGAGCGGCGACGCGTTTCATGCCTAAAATATCAATGAGAATGTTGTGGACGGACTTAAAAGATATGTTCACCTCACTAGCCAACTCTCTCAGACTCATACGTCGATTTTCGAGCACTAGCTTCTTGATTTTGTCGATGTTTTCTTTGGTCGTAGCGGTTGAAGGTCTACCAGAACGAGGCAAGTCTACTACTACTTCTCGGCCTTCTTTAAAAGCCTTATACCATTCATAAGCCCTTGTTTTCGATATACACGATTCGCCGTAGGTATTTCGCAACATTTTTAGTGATTCACCACATGAAATATCATTCGAAACACAAAATTTAAGGCACACTTTCTGTTCAACAATATTTTCCATTGTAAAAATCGCCGAGAACTCAAAACTATGACCAACAAAAAGTGTAGTTTAAAACAAATTAAATGACAGACCTTGCGCGCTAAATCAGTACAGTGCTACCAACATGCAGTAAAAAAATTTAGAACGACCTCTTTTACGCGGGTCTTTTTATTGACGTATTCCCGATACTTTTTACACAGAGTAGTACACCATTCACCCCATCATGCCCCACCCCTAGGGTAAGATGGGGTACCCCGTGGGTAAGATGGGGTACGCAGCAAACGACCATTTAGGACTGTTCACAATGTTCACAAGTGAACACGGTATCTGCATCTTCGTCGTCCACACCTGCACAGCTGCAGTGAGCCCATTTGCCGCATGCTGAACAAGCAGCCCAGCCTTCATTTGAGTCCAAATATAGGCCTTTACAATACAAACAAGGTTAATTTTCAATATCGCTGTCACTATTCTCGTTTAATGATCTATTCTTAGCCCCTTGTTTCTTCTTTGTTACTCTTTTCTTCTTAGTTGCCGGGCCTTTTTCAGATTTTTTAAGTTCCCTCAACTCTTTTTTTCTCTGTTTATCCTCTTCCGCTTGTTCCTTTTTCTTAATCGTTTCTTCTAACTCATTCTTATACGGCGAAGATGTGATCACCGCGGTTTTTCCTCGTTTTCTAGTTGAGCGAGATGTTTTTGTAGTTGCTGGAAAGGGCATTATTTGCTGCGGACTTACAACACCAAATATTGATTGCTGCGGAGTTCGTGGTCTTTCGTGTAGATCGGAGTTATCGAGCCAGTATGAACATCCTGGTTCAGGGGTTGACATTGTATTAGGTAGCACAGTAAGTGCAGTAACCAGATTAGTTGATAGTGACGTACTCGCAGAAATACTAGCGGCAGTATCAAGTCTCGACAATGTTTCTGTTTCCACTGTTACTGGCGTCACTGCTGCATCCGTCAAAGTTGCCGCAACAGAAATGGCTTCAGATATAATTGGCGCATTCTGATTATTTGTTGCTGGTTCTGTGGATGACGATTCCATTATCAACGAACTATTATCGCTTGCAGGTGCGTCGGATACATTAAGCTGAATATCTGTCATCAAAGATGGAGCAAAGTCGGTCTCAGAGAATACTGTTGGATCATATGGCCAAATCCCACATTTCTTAAAACCATTGACAGCTGTTGACATCGTAGACGCTTGTATGAACGCCTTTCCAAAAATTTCAGCTACTTGTCGGACAGTGACAGTCATCCCTGGGTTGCTGCGAAGCCACGCCATGATTTGATGATCGTAGTAGGTACTTAACGGTCTCATGTAAGCAACGTCTGCAACCTGAAGACGGTGAGTTGTATGGTGGACGGTGGGAAACAAAATGATAACGCCGTGAGTGCGTGCTTCATTTATGAGATCAATGTTCTTCGTATGAGTACTATGTCTTGTTCTTTTTCATTGTTAAACGGCTATCAGGCTATCAGCTGTAACTATCGTTACCATATTTGTATTATAATCTACAATACATTCTGGTTTTAAAACTGGTAAACCCGATTCTCTATCTTCCCTTAAACACGGTATGAATGTATGATCGTGCATCGTTGAAAGCATTGTTATAATTTCTTTGTCATACCATTGCAATGCCATCAAGGGTGGACAATACTTGGCACAAACTTCGCCTTTTTTTATTTTTTCAAATTTAGGCATGCCTGACCTATTTTTGCGTACTGTCCCACATGCGACTATTCCCTGCTGATATAAATATCGGAACAACTGTGGGCTACTGTCCAATTATCGACATATAATCTCCGATTAGTGTCCAAAAAGTCTTGTAGTAGAGTAACCACAACTGCCCCACTTAAAACTAAATTTTGTTGATCTATAATAGGCGTTTCCTTGCCGGCATAAACAATAAAGTCAAGTATGACTGGATTTTACGTCACATAGAACAAACATTTTAACTCCAAAGCGATTACGTTTTTTTTTGGCAAAAATTGTTTTATGATCAATCTTCCCTTAAAAGGCACTACACTTTCGTCTATACATAGGTTGCTATGCGGAATTAATGAATTTTTGAATTTTTTGCGAACGTACTCAACGAGAGTTTGTATTTTTGACAATTTAGGAGTATCTGAAATTTGGGCGTCGTGTGGGCCAAAATGTAACATGCCTAATATCACGAAATATCTATTACGTGAATAAATTTCGAAAAAATCGGAGCATTTAATAAAGGGTGTATTGACCAGTACTCCTCCATAGATAAGTGTTTATTTCGCGTAAATAACATTGTTACAGCAAAGAATACGTACATTTCCGAAACAGTAACATCGTACCATTTGTGCAATCTAGAATATACCTTAAGTACGTGTTCGTAAAAAATGTTGGTGGTATTGATTAGTGTTAATTACTATTTGATTCATAAGGTCTTCGTCAAAAAAATGTAAAAATATATCTAACTCAGAGCAGTCTTCATTAAGCGTCATTAATGTGGCAGAAGAAATTCCAGAACTGCAGTCATCAAAAGTTTGAATAACTGGCCTTGAAGATGTGTTAGACCATATAAATTGCTTCCCCGTGCGATGTGTGAGATGATGCCGACTCTGCCACTGGATCTTGCGGTCCTGTCGAAACTTATTCAGCCTCGTAACGCTGCGATTGTTGGCCTTCATCCTGTTACCAAAATACGTACCAAATACGTAAATACGTAAATAGATCGATTGTACATTATAAATTTTAATTTAAGATGCACAACACCAATTAGGTACGTTTAGACTCCAAGAAAATAAAAAGGAGTTCATTTTAGGTTAATATGGACAGTATCTACTTACCTCTAAATAAAAATCCGTGTCACGCTCGTATTCAAAGTCGTCATTATCACTGTCTATTATGCATAGCAGTTCATCTCTAAAATAATATTCACTCATAATTAGATAGTTTTCCGGAAAATAAATTCATCAAATGACTATCGACGCCCAAAAGCGACGACGGCCTGGGCGCGAATGAAGGATGATTCCAAATTAGTGACGTGACTAATTGATGACCATAGATAAATCGATGTTTTAAATGTATGTAGGTTTTAACATAATTAATTTGATTTTTATATTCGTACGATGTATATTAAACGTATTAATAATTAAGTATCACTAATTCCTCAATGGACGCATTTTTTGTAGTTTTAATCAATGTTTTATTTCAATTAGCACAATCTTCTTGTAAATAAATTGTAGAAGGTTAAATTACCCCCATCACTAGTATCGCTTCAAAGCGACAATGGCGTCAGGTGAACGTATATTTTGAGGTCTTATTTTCGCCTAAAACAAGTTCAAATTTGGAAAGGATACTATCAATATCAAGCTTAACTTTAGTTCAATTTAATTGAGTGACATACGTATAAGTCAAAAAAATAAAAAAAAATAGTCTTTTTACCTATTTTCTATATCAGATTATAAAGTAGCACATTTTTTTGTCGCCTAAACTCGACGTTGGCGTTCTAGCGGCTGATTACGTTTGTCGCTTGTAAGCGTCGCTGGCGTTCAAAGGGTTAATACTGCTGTGTTTTGTATAGTAAGTGTAGAGAACTAGATACCCTTTGTATTGGAAACAAAGCTTTCTATCTTCCTATATTCCTCAGGGGTGACAACCCATCTGCATTTTGATTCATAAGTGGAGATAAATGTAAATGCTTATGGGCTACAGCATTCACTTACCATCAGGTTGGCTGTGTAGTCATTTGTTTCACGTATAAAATAAATTTTCCTTATACATGGGACCAGTGTCTATAAGCATACTGAAGAATTCCATTTCTAGTGTTTACTCTTATTTGACAAAATAAGAACTTATTTTTTGTATTATGAAATTTAACTCATGCGGGAAAAAAGCATGAAATTAAAAGTATACCTATTATAACATATTTTTTGAATGCTGTTTGGGGGATATTTTTGTTGATTTCTGTTAAGACATGAAATATAATTTCAGTTAATATTGTAAATAGGTATAGCAATATCTAATAAATGCTTAATTAAAAATAATAAACTTTTTTGACTTTGCCCTGATTTATTGTCACAAAAATATAATATATAAAATGCAATAAGATTTCTGTATGATCAACTTAATCATTTTGGCTTATTGCAATGGTCAGAGGAAACGCAAATAAAAACACTGCCTACTCAATTTAGGAGGCTTCTCTGTTTAGAAATAAGAATGTTTTCTTTGTGGTGATTTTGTATTAGGGTTTTATGCAACAATGCATTAAATTCCTTTAATTAATAAATTAAGGTACAGTAAGACAACTTTGCTTTTTACAAAAATTTTATTAACTTATTATAAATCAGTTTCATTTAACCTTCATAGAACTTGGGCAGTTGATCACCAAGGATCACAGTGCGCTCAACACCTGCTTCTGTGATCACACCCAAACGAACAACACCACCAGACGAGCCATCACGTAACATAGCCAGTGTGAGTGTGTTTGTAACAAATTTCACAGCTTCTTCCTTGGTCATATTGGGCTTGAAGTTGGCATCAACATATCCATAGACATATGATGACCCCGATCCACCAATAGAAACGGCCTGGCGTTGAACCATCCCTCCAATTGGTACACAATAGATTTGTCCTGTTTTTAAATATTTTATATTAGAAGAAAAAGATTTTTTTTGTTGATTTACAAAATTGTGATAAATGCATAACTTTAAAGTACTGTTGGAAGCTATTAACTGTACAGCGCATAATAAACACAGTATATGATCAAAAATTGGTCATTCTTTTGTAGCTATCCCAAATATGATAGAGCTGATAGACAGACTCATAGAAACAATCTTATCATAATATCCAGACCAGAAAACCTGCTTTTACAAGTTAGCTGTTAGTTGAGCAGTTACAAGATTCTTAATTCATTTAAGTTACTAATGATTTTTGGTACACTGGTGAATATTGTTAAGAGATGAAATCGGTTAATCCTCAAGATTTTTGCTAGAAGGTAGGACTGCCTTTTCTGTCTAGGAGTCCATCCGGTTGGGTTTCTGTAACCAAAAGCAGTATGTATGCTGTGTTTTGATCTGAAGGGTATAGAGAGGCAGTATAACTATAGGTTGTGAGGTAATCCATATGGGTCATCAAAGATGACAACAGATCTGTAGCCTCCTTTTTTGTTGTAAGCTGGTTGCAGGTGTACATGGGATGCAGTAGCGACTTGCCATCAGGGGGACTGCCAGCATGTTTGTCACTTGAGTTTTAATAAAAAAAATTACCTCCTTTCTTCTTATCCCAGCCAGCAACTAAAATGCCAGCAACTAACGAGTCACGGTAATTGTAACAGAGTTCACGAAAGATTGCAGCAGCTGTTTGCACAAGAGGAGGTTCACCGAGCTCCATTCTATGGAAATCTGTAAAGTTTACAAGTCTTAAATCATTTAAAATGTATAGATAAAATATGTACATTTTTTATTACAGCTACATATGCTATGTGATGATGACATAAATGAATAAAATTCTATTTGAATTAAAGTTATTATTAATGGGAAATGCATACAATATTCAGCTGATTTGGGCATTTGACAGTAGTCAACTGAATTTTTTAAAAAAAATATCAATACAAAATTTCTATAGAAATTGTAGAGGATATAATAATCAAATAATCATCATATTTAAGCACTTTATGGTTGTAAGAGACTTTACTTTTTAAAAATCAATGAAGCTTTGAGAACACAGAAGTGTCAAATTTAACAAATATATAATAAAATGGAAAAGTATATTAAAAGTGGCTCAGGACTGTGCTTTGTGGCATTATTTGTGAAGGGCTGTAATGTTGACGATGATGATGATAAAATGTAGCTTCTTAATTTCCATACTAATATATACAAGATAAGAAGCCGCACTAAAGTGCAAGGTGTCAATTTAGTGCAACTGCTAATTGAATCTTGTTGTGCAGAAATTATCTAATCTACAAAACCATAAGCTTATTCAAATTTAAAAGATAATGCATTTTTTGTGGCAGAATCCCTATTATATTGTTATTTACCGTGGTGTAATTATCCACTGCCCCCTATCATCCTATAAGTGCCATAAAGACGATAGAGGAAAACAAATCAGGAAATGGGTCAAACAACTAAAAAATCAACAGCTAAAAAAAATTGCTTGACCCTGCAGGCCATCCCTGGAACTTCGCAAGTTCGAAGTTATGTAAATAAATGTTTTTTTTTTCAAATTCTTTCTCCTTCGATATCTCAGGAATGAATCAACTGATTTTTATTTTCCAAACAGCACTCGACGTCATTTTTTGAGGTTAAGAGCTGATTAGTCTTAACCTCAAAGCTGATTAGTTTTTAAAATAGATCAGTAAAGCCGTTTAAAAGTTATGCCAAAAAACAGTTTTTCAAAATTTTTATTTTTGAGATTTCTCAAAATCTATGCTTCCGAATCAGTTCATATTATCACCAAATCTGTTCCACATTGAGATCTTTAGAATGCATCTCAGTTGATCAAAACGTTCAAAAGTTATGAAAGGTTTACATACTTACACACACACACACACACACACACATACATACATAAATCCGTATGGACATCCACGTGAAATTAGTCTGAATAGCTTCCTGGGATCTCAAAACGTCGAGATCTGATGAAAACTCGATTTTAGAAAATTGGGGTGAAACCAGTAACCTCCCTATTTTTGAAAATTTTTAATTTTCTTAGCAGGAAGTTAACAAACTGCAAATGCCAATCTGCTTCCCAAGCGTGGCAACTATGGCAAATATCCCCCCATATGAGGCAATCTAAAGAGGAGGTCTATGTTCAGCTGTGGAAATAATGTTAGGCTGTAATATTAACAGTTATTCTATTCTATTATACTTAAAACTTTTATTTTATATCTTTGGGTGAAAAACGAGCACATAGTACACCTGATGGTAAGTGGATGCTGTGGACCATAGACATCCACATTTATCCTCACTAAGGATCAAATTGTAAATGCGTTGTCACCCCTAAGGACTAAGATGGAATGCATCTATTCCAGTAAAAAAGGGTCTCTGATTCTCTACACTCACTATACAAAACAGCAGCATTAAGCTGCTATTTTATGCTGGTATTCTGTGAGAGTGTAGTCCTGCCCTGGTTGAGCCAACCCATTCATGCTACAACTATAATATAGCTGCAGCGTGGCTCTATGAATTGGAAATAAACCAAAAATGCCTCTAGATCATTATTTAGGTCACTTTGTCAGTTCATATCTTCACAATATGGTCTAATTTGTGTTCAATCAATAACAATCTGATCATATCTTCTGGTAAACAATTATCTAGTACTATTATAGCGTATTTTGTAATTCCAGTGACTAAATGAAATTTTAGGTGCTACTATTTTGTAATTTTCATAGTTTAACCTCTTAACCCCCTAGTGGTCTCATGAGACCGCGTCCATATTCCGTCAAGTCCCTAGCGGTCTCATGAGGTCGCACCCACCCACAGCACTTTAACCCATAAAAACTTATATATACTACTCTTCTATGAAGAAGTTTGGCATTACATAATCAATATGAAATACTCTATCCTCTAGTGCAATAAAAAAACTGTTATCCTATGAATATTTATTTATAATCTACATTGATTTCGTACACCATTTTCGCATGAATGTTATTGTGTTGATTTTGGGATTTTTTTTGTGTTTTATTATAAAATTGTAATGAAAGTTTTTGTGTGAATATAATTTATTTTTTTACAAAAATAATTTCAAGTAATATACAATGGATTTCATTTATTATGACCTTGTTTGTAGCGACCATTTACCTATAGCGACGTTAAATCTAAGTCCCTTGAATTTAAATCATACTTTAGTACAAAATTCATGCGGCTATAGTGACTTTGGATGTAACGCCGAGTTCGGGTATAGCGACTGTTTTTGATGAATAATTTGTAACAAATTCTTATAAATCCCATGCAGATATTGCGACCGAGTCGGCCGCCAAAGACACGAAGATTTATTTTTTTCACAAACACTTCTTATCTTTTGTTTACATCGACACAGATCGTCAGCAAGTGTGGAGACCTTTATCTTTTGTTTATAGATATCAGCTAAGTAGGTAGGAGAGCATGTACATTTCCGAGTTAAATTTATGGTTCAGTTATAAAGTGATATTCTGAGTAGCATTTTGAAATGTACCAGTGAATAACTATGTGTGCAAATATTTTCAATAATAAATGAATATAAAATACATGTGTATATAACTGTATCTCTTTACATTTGCCTGTAACGACTTCCAGATATAACGACGAAAATAGAGTGGTCCCTTCATCATTATATCTGAAATCCACTGTATATTGAAATAATTGTGATTTTCATGATACCGACATTTGCTTGGTATGTTTTATTTTGTTATCAAAATACAATAAAATCTTTTTGTAATTAAGTAAAACCTGACTTGTGTTTGTGATCTGACTTTTGTTTAGACCACAGGATAGAGAATTTTGTATAGATTTTATAATGCAAAACTTCTTCATAGAAAAGTGGGTGGGTGTGGTCCCATGCAACCGTTCTTTTTTTGTCAGGCACATGTGATTGCATGGGATTTTTATGGCGCTTGAAGGGTTAATATAGTAATCAGAATTATTTGTAAAGCTATATTAGATATAATTCAAACAAGTTTTGACATTTGTAATTTTTAATTTAGTTTCTGGAATTCAAAAACGAAGTAACCTATACTGTATTCAAAGATGTGTCTAACCATATTCCATGTAACTTACTTAGGTGGTATGTCACGATGTCAGCAATAGCTTGTGTATCAGCAGCCGAGCCTGAACGGCAGCAATATATATGATCAGTGATCCTGGTCAGTTTGTCTGTTACTCTATTCGCAATGTAAGCGCCCGTAGTCGTGCGAGAATCCGCTCCTATAACAACACCGCCATCGAACTCGCATGCCATAATTGAGGTGCCTGTACTGTGCGGTGCGTTCATCCATTCAGGCAAACAAGGATCAGCATAAGTGTTGATCACGGAAGCCGCCATTTCACTGAAATTTAATTATTGTTCGTTTTACAAGGGAAATCAAAGTATGTTTTAAGTTGATGTGAGATTTGTTATATATATAAAATGATAGGTAAGCACGAAAATAATAACTGGAAACTTAAAAGTACTTACAATAATTATAATAATAATAGGTACTTACAATAATAATAGGTTTTTGTTCAGATGTTTTAATAAAAAAATAAATTTGAAAGTCACGATTCGGTTTCGATAAAATTATGCTGTCAAACCACGGTCACCTGTCAAACACAACACAAGGTTAGGGATGCCGCATGTCGATCTTAAATCGATTAATTAAAGAGTCGGTTTTTTGGGTTACGAAAATCGATTGTTTTAATTTATCTTAAAACAATGGATCGTCCCCGTAAATCGCTCTCCTTCATCTTATTAAAGATTCAATTTTTTCTATTTTGGTAACAACATTTTCATTCATAGACTTCTGATATGCCATTGCTGAATATAGCCTCTCCGAATAATTGACCCATAGGGATTTGCCACAGTTGTCAGTGGGAAGATATTGTAATGGGTCTGATTTTGCAAATTGGAAATTTTAACATATATCCACGTTTAAAGGTCTTTAGAGTGGAATAGTATGGTTTTTAAGAGGAAGACCGTGCACATGTACGTATGTATGTATGTTCGGATTCAATTTTCACCTCGTGTATCTCGAGAACAAAGAGTGATTTGACATGGTACCAGTTTCATTTAACGCATAATTATGTAATTTAGACCTCATTAAATTTTGAGCAAAACCGGTCAAGTCGTTTTTTGTGCCGAATGAAAAATTGTATAACATATTAAAACATATGGTATTTTTTTGTTCTTTCCACTGGGAAGTTAGTCGTGCGGACCTTTCTGGTCGCACCTAGACCACTTGTATTATAAGATGCAATTTTCTATCTTCTGTTTCAGTTTCCCTCTATGCTTCTTACGATACACACAATGCAATTATATAAATATATACAGTTAATTTGACGGCTTCATATCATAGTGGCTAAGCGTTCGGTTCAGGCGCTGAAAGTCGCCGGTTCGAATTTTACTAAGAATAAGTGTTTGTGTGGCCTACAAACAATTATTCCTGGTCTGGATAAGCGCCTGTGTGTTTCAAGACTTGGCCAAATACTCAAACGTTACTCAATCTTAGTCACAGTTACTTTGATTTGAAGATAACGATAGCACAAGACTTAATGGCATCTTAAAATTGAGTAGCCTTTCAGTATTTGGGCAACAGAGATTTTTTCTAGACTAATTCTTTAGACTTCGACTGAAATTGATTGAAAATCGATGTTTTATGAAAAAGGATCGCTATCCCTTCACAGGTTTTTGTTGTTGTTATTATTCACCAATTCAGGCAGGCAAAGGTCTTATACCGTACAGCTTAATCTGATTAAATATTTATACTCAACTAAACCGAGACTGTCTAAGAAATACCTTTTGACGTTTTACATTAATCATTCCGCAATAACTTTGTACAAGCGTAATCACACGATTTGAAATAACGTTTTGAAGGAACTACTAGAATTATGAAGTTATCTTATTTTATTACAATATTTATAGCTCTTTATCACTAATTTAAATTCGAATATTTCCAACAAGCAAAATATAAAAATATTAACCAGAATCAACTTTTTTTTTTTTGCTGACGTTGTTTCAAGGATATATCGTTATGTACCTTACCGTAGTGTTTGGATGATTCAAATTAATGCTAATGCGAATAATCGACAAAAATATTTTCATGTTTTGATTTATTATTTGTTTATTTAAATATTTATTTTTAGCGTTGCGTAAATTAGATGAACCAAGTCAATATTTTTATAATTTCTGGAAATTCCACTGTGGCGAAGTTGCAAGTAAGTTTAGAAGATGCCGGCCTGTACAATGGTAAGTAGTCATTGAGATTCAAACGCAAAATAATTATTTAGAGACAAGAATGTAAAAAAGAACATTTTTCGAGAAATAAAAAATATAACCAATTGGGACAAGGACATTGGGACATGGCTAAACACTAACCACACTGTGCCGCAGACGCGTACAAATGAAAATGAAGAAATCTTGCTCAAAGGTGCCGTTGTAAAAGATGGTCGCTTCATAATTTGCCATGTGGGATCTGCCGGAGGAAAATTTGTAGAAAATACAATTACTACACAAGCCATCACTGGGCCAATGTGATGGAGGAAAAAATGAAAATTGTCATGAACTACAATGAAAGAGACATTCATTTTGAATGCATTATAGGTAATAAAATAAAAATAACTAATGTAAACAACGATGGTGACGACGACAGCTCAACTAGTTGTAGTGAAAGTGGTTGAATAAATTTGTTTTTAATCTAGTGCAGTCTTTTGTTGTTCATTTGTAAAATATTTTATTTTGATCTAAGGAGATTTGTTATAATGACTTTTAAAAATGATATCGCGCAAATGGCCACCTCTGGCCTTGGCAACGAAATGTGTCCTTTTTTCGGCGTTTTTAATCACGTTGGCCAATGTTTCGGCAGATATGGCGGCAATTTCTTGACAAATATTGTTCTTGAGGGCAGCTAGAGTCCTTGGCTTGTTAGCGTATAACTTGGATTTCAAATAACCCCACAAAAATGCCTGGTGACGTCAAATCAGGTGATCTCGGTGGCCAGTCAAAATTGCCATTTTTCGATATCAGTTGCCCAGGGAACAATGATCGCAATAAATTGATTGTTGCTCGAGTTGTGTGGCATGTGGCGCCATCCTGTTGGAACCAGTAATCGTCCATGTCATTTTCACGAATAATTTGCATCAGAAAATCCGTTATCACGGTCCCATAACGCTCACCATTGACGGTTACAGTAGCTCCATCATCGTCTTCAAAATACGGCCCGACAACTATATCCGCGCAAATATCGCACCATACCGTAACTTTTTGCTCGTAAAGAAGCTGCTCTTCGATTACTTGAGGGTTTTCGGTGGCGTAAAACCGACACACCTGGAGCAATTTTCACTTTATTTTTTTTTTACGAAACGCACGCTTAGTTTTCACGATTAAAAAGTTATTTTGAATGTACAGCTGAACAATTTCAGCGCGTACTTTTGGTTGTCCTGCTCCATGGTTGAAATTCTACTAAAATGACGCTTCCAACACGGTATATCATTAATTGATCTGACAACTAATTTATTCAAAGATTAATACATAAAATCGCACCACTTTCACGTATCAAACTTTACTTCAAAACATTATTTAACCGAACGATAAAACAGGGTCAGCAATTCACCGGCAGTTAAGTTCCGGCCAAAACTCTTCCCCGCACAGAATGACCGTTTCCGTTTTTGAATTTATTGTGGCATGGGATCTTTGAGTATTCAACCAACTGGAGAGGCCATGCGCGTTAATTCTTGAACAAAAAGTTTGTCACTTTCAGTGGAGGCGAGAAAAACACACTACTGTATACTTCACTACAAATGCAAAATTGAATCGCGTCACTATACACGCACACTACAGCATTTGTGTTTGTGTTCATTGCATATACGTACATTGTATGCGAAATACAATCAAATTGCACACGTCTCGATACACTGGTGCCGCAGTCTAAGCGCGACTTTGTCGATATTTTTATCGATAAACAAATCATCATAGTTCGCATAAGTTAAGCGTTGGTAAAAGTGATTTTTAGTGTTTTATCATTCATCAAAACTGAACATAGGACTCTCCCAAGGGATGCCAAAACACACGGTTCTGATCCACGTGCATCCATCGACTTCCTGCATGTCTTACCAGGTCATAACTCCATTTATTGGGAGTCGCCTTGCACTTCACCTACCGTACGAAGCTGCCTCGACAACCTTTTTTTCACATCGGTTGTCGATTTTTCAAACTATAACCGGACCATTGCCACTTCAGCTTACTAATCCGTTGGGCTGTGTCGGTCACTCGGGTTCTATTGCAAATATCCTAATTTATATGTTTATCATGCAGAAAACTCCGAGCATAGCCGTCTCCATAGCTTACTGAGCGTATTTGAGCTTCCTCATACGGCCAGCAGTGAAGGGTTCTTTAATGTAATATAAAATTATAATTTTATTAGTTAATTGAATTATGGCCAGTTTTGAAAGACCGATTAAACTCAGATTTTAATTCAAATTTAATCAAGAAGTTGGCTATGGGATTTTTCCGCGTTGTGTTTATACCGACTAATAGAAACACTAATGCGTCAGTAGCTTCATCGGAATTATTCGATAGTAGTAGTCAACTTAGTCATAATGTCTTAGGCTGCTAGCATGGTATTCCATCAACTACTTAATTTTCATTTCATCCATAACCAAGGTAAAATAATTTTTTTATCAGGGTTACTCTCCGCTCTCAATATTAATACCGTCAGTGCTTCTTGAGTAAAGCCTGGTCGGCCATTGATGATACTGTGCCACTTAGTCAAAGTCCGTGGTGCAGGTTTCAAAAGTTTTACGTACATAACGATAGGATTTTCGTTAATAATCAAGTGTTAGGGCGAAACATCTTAATTCTGTGAAATATTTAGTTCTGGGCAGTTTTCCAGACTTACTTTTAAGTAATTGTCTCTTTATAAGTTCGCTTTCTTCAGTTCCTATCTTTTCCAGTACCTGTTTGTTTTCTTTATTTATCAAAGATGTCTCTGTCAGCGAATCTAGTATTTCTTGCAAACTTGTAACTTTTTTCTTTAAATAACGTTACTGCGATTGTAACCTTTTTATGTTATTGATTTTTATTTGGACGTGTTGTTCTAGTTTAATTTTCCTTGGTGTACAGTCTGTTCGCTTAGATACGGTCGTTTTAGTCCCGCAACGCCTCAGCACGTGCCGCATTTTGTCAAAGGTGCGAAATTAAATTTCGTACTGTAAAGCAACCGAAACGTCAAAAATCATTGAAAAGTCAAAATTAAACGCGATAAAATC